TGTGGGACTAATAAAGGTTATCTTATCTTATCTTAACTGCAATCAAAAGTGATGTTATGCACAGATCACTTTTCCATTTTCCTCTCTCTAGATGAGTCCCAGCTGCCTGACCTTGTGTCCAGGTGATCATCTCACCGAGGAGCTTTTAGTGTTCTGAAAATCTCACCTCCATGACCTGTTTCCTTTTTACTTTACTATCTCTCCTCTTTCTTTATTAACAATGCTCATAATATCACACAATTATATTCATCACCTGCATGTTTTTATCCACCTGCTGTTATAACCAAACAAATAAAAAGGATGAAATGCCTAAAATCCTTTGATTTATTACATTTTGAAACAAATCTGAGTACATCCCTAACAGCACAGCTGAGACCTTTGTTTTAATCAAGCCTTTGTATCTACACACTTGTAAAGATTCATATACAAAACATAATAGAAGTAAATAAATATAAAATACACATAATCACAGAAGATGACTAAAAAATGCAGCCATGTTGTGAATTTGCATCTAAAAACATGCATGTTTCCCTTTGTACAGGCAGATTTACAGCAGACAAAGCAACACGGGTGATAGACTTTGACTGCTCCTAAAAAAATACCCACCAAGTCTGAAGTAGATCAGAGGAACTGTTGACATACAGACTGACAGACAAACATACAGATGCTTGATTCATTAGTGCGATAAAATGTTCTTCTTTAACAGCATCACTTCATGTGTTTGTTCTCCAGGAATAAAGGTCTGTTTAAACTGGATCTCTCCTCAGCAACACTAGTGCTGTCATGGTTTCAAAGCTGTGCAGTAGAGACAAGAATCTGAGGGATGATAGAGAGGTGACCAAAGTTACAAACACATCCAGCTGTGCTGGAAATGTTTGCAGAGCTCCAAACTCTTTGGCTTTCTGTAGAGCAAGTATGGAAGAAGTACCTGAGCTAACTTCAATTTAGACGCTTCCCAAAGTTTCCTACAAGTATCCAGTTTATATTTAGAGAAGCGAAGGCTCTTTATCCTGACAACTATTCCCTGGTGGATCCCTGTCCTGTGACAGTAGCAAAGAATGTGTATCAGTATTATCAAAGCCACTTCAATAACCAGTTTTTAAAGCTCTCTAGCAGTGCCAGTAGCCTCTGTCTGCTGTGTACAGAAGGTTCTATGATTAAGCACACAGCAGATGCTGCACTACAACAGTAGCAGCAGCTCAGCTTCAGTTTGGTTCAATGCCCTTTTTGACCTATGAAACAGCAGAAAATGAAACATTTCAACACCCGTTTGTTAGCGTGAGCTATTCTGCTGTTTTTCATCATTTCACAGGTGAAATAAAATCATAGTACATTTACTTCCTGTAGGAGTGATCATGTCCAGCCTGACTGAGACCATGTATTACTTATGAGAAAAGCCAACTTTGAGATTCCTAATCAGTCAGCTTTGGAGAAAACTGTGTGAACAAAGCTCTGCTTTCGCTCTGAGGATGCTCCATCCTGCACAGATAATAAACCTCTGACATGAAGGGCTTTCAAGTAGTTTTTAGACAAATGGGCGTAAAAGAGATGTTAAAAGCTTTAAAGAGAAACTACATTTTCTAAGAACTGTCTGACGTTCACCTCTCACACAGTGGATACAAGTCTGCCGCTGCAGGAATAATCTTTGTGGTTATGAAACTGTCCATGTGTTTACAGAGAATGTCACATGTTCAAAGCCACCCCAGCACCTGGGGTTTGTATAAGTGCAGCTGTTGGTGGGGAGATAATCTCACTCTTCTATATAAAGAGTCACCAGGCAGCAGATCATCATGTCTTCACTCTTCAGCAGCTATGGCTTCACTTCGCGCCCTTCTGGGAGTGGTACTGTGCTCCCTCATGGTTTCTGCTTCTGAAATCCTACCTCAGGCGGACTTTGATTTACAGGGGGTAAGAGTCATCCATAATATTTTTTATTTTACCGCCCATCTATTTTCATACAAATGTCTCCGTCTTATGGAAAAAGGGTGCAGCTTATCCAACAAGGACAGGCAGGCCCCCCCCAGACAGTTTAGCAGTCTATACAGGAGGCTGACCTTTGCAACATGTACTTCTATAATGATTTCACCATTTAAGTTATTTGGTTATGTTTCACCCTGGATTTTGCCTGATAATATTTATTTTGTCCATTGCTTAAAAAAACAACAACAAAAAAACTATATAAATATGAAACAAAGTGTGAACAACAAAACATCAGCATTGGAAACTTTGATGTTTGCAATTGTTTTCTCAGGATATAGCATGAATAAAACTAATATACATCAGTGTATTATTAATGTGCACACACACACACACGCACGCACGCACGCACGCACACACACAAAGTGTTACAATAAGCAGCTCTTATGCTTCTGTATAATTCTCAATCCTTTCCATTTGTGTGTCCACAGGTTGCAGGTAAGTGGTACTTGACTGGAGTTTGCTCTAATTTCAAATGGTTTGTCTGTCGCAAAGCCAACATGAAGTCCGGCACCGTCATGGTTGAGCCAACTGAAGATGGGAGTATGAAAGTGGCGTCCTCACATCCTCTGTGAGTGCGAGTGGACAGACAAAGCAAATACCATTTGGATAGCATTAAAATATTTACACTGATGATTAATGTTATGTCTTTGCACCCGTAGCGATAAATGTTGGAAAATAGAGATTTTAGCCACCAAGACTGAAATGCCTGGAAAATTCACATACAGCATTCCCTGTGAGTAAGACAGGAAACAGTTTAACCACCACGGTTAATCCTCCATCATCATCATCCAGTATTTTTCACATCTTTTCTTCTGCCGTTTCCCTTTTTGTCAGTCACGGGGTTTGTGACTGAAATGCGTGTGGTCGACGGGAAGCCTGACGAGTACGGCCTGAATCATTACATCAACACCGGACGGAATGAAACCTTTGTTGAAAACAAATTATATGGTAAAGTTGCATTTAGCTGTGTTCAGTAAACTGTGAAGTAAAGTTACAGCAACAGATTTACATCACGTGGTTTCACAGGACGTAGTCTGGACCTCAGCGCTGAGGTGAAGGAGAAGTTCAACCAGCTCTGCTTGCAGTCCGGCATCCTTCCTGAAAATATTGTTCATCTTCCTAAAACCGGTACTTTTACATTGGTGCTGAAATTCTACATAAAAACAGCCTGAAATACAAATTGATGTTACCTCACACTTTCCATGTTTCCTTCTACAGAGGAGTGTCCGCTTGAGTGTTTTGTCTGATCTGTTGTTGATCGTCTCACCGACACTGCATAAAGATCTGACATCATCTGTTATGGAAATGTGACTGAGCAACATCTTGAGCAGTCTTTAACAATAAAAATGCAAAAGTCTAGATTGTTTTTCTTTATTATTCATCCTTTATATGAAATAAACTGAAGAACATCCAGAACAACACAATTCACACGAGTATTTCACGATTCTCCACAACTGTGATCACCATTTTCTTTGTGTATTTGTAATAGTTTTAATAATTTCTAGTGTTGGATGGCTAAAAGATGAATAAATAATCATCAGATGGACCCATTATAAAAATAGTATTTGCTTCCATCTGATAGAGTTACCCTCAGCTCAAATAACTGTGACATTAAAATGCTGTTTACAGTCTAAGTGCCTCGTTCGTGAACAGTGAATTTCACACACAAAACATTCATACTTCCATACCTGAATTTGTCCATACAAGTGTAGGACTGTCTCAGAAATGATCGAACATTTGACTGTTAGATGGTTTTCCCTCCATAAGCCTGGTTACGCTGGAGCTTTCTTCCTGTTAAAGGGAGTTTTTCCTTCCCACTCTTGCCAAAGTGCTCACAGGGGGTCATATGATTGTTGGAGTTTCCTCTGTTTTCTCTGTATTGTTGTGCAGTCTTTACCTTACAATATAAAGCACCTTGAGGCGACTGCTGTTTTGATTTGGTGCTATATAAATAACATTGAATTGAAATGATTATTTCTTTTTTATTTATTTGCTAGTTTACATGAGCCAGCGTGTCTCAGGGAAAACAATATGTAGACCTTTGTTATTTGAAGCCAAGCCTCGCTTATTATTTAGTTCTTTCTTCTCCCTCTCTTAACTGCGTTCTCTTACAGTATCCTCACCATTTACCCATCTTACCACAAGGTAAGCATGATTCTTTGTCTGGAGAAATAGTGTGTGTGACAGTGTGCAGGTTACAGATGGTGAACACTGATTTTCACTCATTTGGATTCATTAACATGCATCAAGGAAAGAACAAAACAGGTTGGTGCACATTTTATAAATCTGACAATAATTTTCATGTTGCAGTTATTTGCTACAGCCCGATGTCCCCAGCAGGTCCCTCAGGTCATCTGATCAGGGCTTACTTGCTATGAAACAGACTAAGATGAGAACTAAGGCTGACAGAGCTTTTGCCACTGTGGCCCCGACACGGTGGACTCTCTCCCTCATACATTAACAATTGTGGACTCAGTCGTTGTTTTTAAAAAAACAACTCAAAACTCACCTTTTTAAACTGTTTTTGGTTCAATTTCTGCCTGTTTTATATTGTCTGTTTTTCCTTTTATTATTTGTTATCTTATGTGCAGCACTTTGTGATTCTGTCTAGAAAGGTGTTATATAAATACAATTTATTTATTATTTATTTGTTTGTTGTTTTTGTTGCACACATTAAAACATTTCTTTGCACATAGTAGTAAATGATGCCCAAGGAGTCTTCTCATATCTGCCACAAGTTTTTATGACTCCACTTACATTAGAAAAATAATGGAAGTGAGGAGAGGTAAGTGACGGGGAAAGGTAAGCGACCCATGTTGTAGGTGACGTCCAACACGTTCTCACTCCCAACTCGTCAAACGTGTGACGCATGGTCAGGCTCCCTCTGCTGCACTTATGGACGCGCAGGGTACCCC